ATGTCCTACCGATTAAGTTGCAACCTTAACCGAGTAATCTTAACAAGTTTTAACCATTTATAATCGTATCTTATCGGTTACTGCAATTAATATACATTGCAAGTTCTATAGCAGCAGCATCGCTCGGTTGATTTTAAGTAAAACTTGGTTACATTTAATCCTTTTTTTTCTCAGTGAGGATAAATTGTGGGAAGAAAAAACGAAGGGAAGTATAGTTATAATAGTGGAATAAGTGGAAGGGGTAGGAAAAAGTGACCTGAAATGTCACAGAAAGAAATAAGTAAGGAATTCCTTCTTAAGAAGTGAACGAGGCACTAAACAGGCTGAAGAGAGGAAAAGCAGCAAGGAAGGATGGAATGGAAGGGGAAAGTTTGGTGGAGAGATAGTAAAAGATGAAATGTGTCGAATAGTGAATTTGTTTTGGGATGGAGAGGGTTATCCGGCTTGCAGAACAAGACTAATAGAGTCAAGTCTAGATTGCTGAATGTAACAAGTAGAAGACAATTTTTTAAGGGGAATTTACTTTATTCAATTTTTAATACTAAAGTTTGAAGATCCTAATAAATAAATGAATAATCAATGAAATAATATCACGCAATTTTTTGAGATTTTCAACAACCCCCTCCCCCAGTCACGCTATCATCACGCTATCAGTATCTAATTCACAAGTTCAGTGCGAAGAATATGTGCAGGTTATTGTTCAGGGTGTTCGGAGCCTGTTCGATTCAAACGATGTTTTATAACCTCTGCCTCGCCTACATTTACAAATGAATTGTGACATTTAAGAATTAAATAAAAAACTTGTTGAAACCTTCTTTAAGATTTGGGGGATGTGTTTCATGTGGTGATTCATTTGGCCCTCTAAGCACAATTACTTCACAACCATTTGTTATTGTCACTGCTTTAGCTTGACATGCTTTTCCCTGCAGTTGATTGCAATCCCAATACGTTTTATTTTTTCGTTCTCTTGATTTTAAATATACATATCCGTTAATTATTAATTTTATATTCACAATTTCTGCAGAATATTCCATGTTTAACAATTAATAAAAAGAAATTGCTTTCGTGAATATTACTTGTGGGGAAAAATGATTTTGTGATATTGGATTCGGAAAAACGTTGGGAAACCACCTATATACTATATATTTTGTCATCGTCGAACACTTAATATGAGTGTGGGATATTGCACTTTATAAAAATAAAAATAGTCTATGTAAAAAATCAATGTATCAACTATCAACATAGGCTATTTTTGAATAAATTATAATTTAATTTTAATAATGGTCACATATCTTTTACTTACCTTAGGTCTTAAGTTTTCAACATAATTATAAAAAACCGCTGTCAAGTTAAATGATGAATTTATTGTGTTCATTTCATGAACACTTTGCTTCCTCATAAATATTTTTTTCGATTAATTTACTTTATCAATCGTAGAAATATTACTAATTAAATATCGTTTGCTAGTTCTTTAACGTAGATTGATAGAGTTAATAATTTTAATACAATAATTATTACGCTAGTGAATTACGTAGATTTACCGTTTCGCTAATATTCTATATAATCTTTTGACTAGTATTTAAAATAACGAGTTTATATTACTTTACGTTTTTGTACATTACGACACGTTACGTTACCGCGGATGAGATAAGCGTTACTAGATTTAATTATTCCCGAAGCTGGTCATGAATTTACTTCCCGATTATCATTATTGGACGATACTAGAAATTATATATATTCATAGATTTCTACTAGGTAGTGCACATCTAGAGGGAGTCGATTTCGCAGAATTTCGCTAGGGATAAATCTCGTCTGTGAGGAGTCAGTACTCCCGCTGACCCTCTTGTCCAATAATAAATATACCGAAATAATTAAGTCTCTGTAAAGTCGATTCTTAACCCAGGAAGTTCCTGAGGCGAAGAAACAATTCGTCAGCATCGCTTCAAGTGAAGCAGAGTCTACAATGAGAGAAGGTGCGCATCAATGTTCATACTGACGTCCAAAGTAAGAAGATAAATAAGCGCCATTGTCACTTAGGTCAAAATTTGTATAGTGTAAACATAAGAATAAACACCTAAGCGACATTGGCGCTTATGTATCTTCTTACTTTGGACGGCAGCATAGCTATAGATATACCACAGCATGCTTTAGTATACCTATAGCTATGAACATCGATGCGCACCTTCTCTCATTGTAGACTCTGCTTGAAAGAATAGCTCCTCACTTCACTTGGGGCGGTAAGCAGGGCTAGTGAGTGACTGCTAGTCTCTCCTGGGAGCACTCACGGATCAACAGATGCATTCGTGAAGAGAGATAGAAAACTAGGCAAGAGCTAGTGAACGGAATAGCACCTCTCGTTTTCTTGCTCAGGCGAAGGAAGGATATTTTCCGGACAGGAATAGCACCTCACCAGCTAGAAAATGTATTAAGGGTGGAAAACGAAAGTGAGTTCGCTGTCGGTTGTCCTCGAAGCAAGCCTTGAGTCCGTTCGACGGCGAACTGAGGAAATTTTAAGTGCAAGCAAAGTATATAAAAGTCTGGTCGCTAGCGCGGTTAGTCGCGTGGTGGGGACTGTTACGGAGGCGCGACGCGGCACTGTGTGCGCGGTGGATACTTTGAACGAGACTAGCAGACTGAACGCGCTTCAGTATTATAGTATCTATATATATTTTTTCTGTACGAAATATAATATTTCTCACGTTAGATTTTAAAAGGTATCATAACAGCTTTTATAAGATTATTTCTACTATAAATTTTGAATATGATATATTCCAAAATTTTTCGTTTTTAAAATAACAATAATTTCGTATTTCTGATCCAATTAACCCTTAAACCGCACCCTGGGTGTGCGACACCCATATTCCTGCTTTTTACACCAATATATCGTTTATATTTGCAAAAATTAAACATGTGTCGCTATTGGACGGTACATTTTGTACTTAAGTTTATGTTCCGTGAGTAATATTTGTCTCCCATGTATCTTTGCGTATTTGAAAACTTTATGAAGTTGAAAGCGAAAAATTTATGAGTGGCTGACACCTAATTTTCGGTTTGAGGTAATTTCAGTAGTTTAAAAAAATTTTTTTTTTAATTATTAAAATTAAATAAATTATTATGAAACCTATTTTCCTTCAAAATAGATGTACTGAGCTATATAAGATAATTTTTCCAAAAGAAAATATCCTATTTCAGCTTGGAAAACACACTTAAAAGTCCCTGGGTGTCGCACACCCAGTGTGCGGTTTAAGGATGGATTCGGCAGTGTGCGGTTTAAGGGTTAAGTAAAAAATAGGTGAATCAAAGCGATTTATAAAGTTCTATAATTTATTTATAAGACTTTAAAAGTTACTTCCATTCTTAAAAAAAAATTTTAATAAGACTTTTTTACAATTTGTGGTTTTTAAAATACCAATAATTTCGTAATTTCTGTCAAATTAGGTTCCAAAATAGGTAAATCGAACCGTTTTTTAATGCTCTACAAGTTGGTTATGCGACTTTTAAAGTTACTTCTACATTTCTTAATAAAATTTTTTAAAAATGACTTATTTTCAAAAATTTTAGATTTTTAAAAGTTTAATATCTCCGGCTAATATGGATGAAAAACGTCCAATAAGGGCTCAAAAGATGCGTCTAAAAAACTCCACAAAATTAGAAAAAACATTTATATGTGCCTTAACATTTTTTTAAGGTATCGACAAAAAACGATTTTTTGCAAAATTAAATGTTCAAAATATATAGTTAAACTTTATTAATTTATCTTAAAGTAATCTTATTCTATGTCCGCACGTGAGGCCTACAATTTAAAAAAAATTAATCCCTACAGCTCTTTATAATTTCGAAATATTAATGAAAATCTAATGTTTATACACACCCGCGCGCACATACGGAGTGCAATTTTTTAAAAATGTGATTTTTTAATTCCTGAGGTCAAATAGCATAGATATGTCAAAAAATCGAATTTGATAATTTTTTGTATTCTAATACTTTCTCATGAGGAAGCAATTATATTAAAAATTTAAGGTTTATTACAAACGAACTGTTATATTTGGCGACCATGACAGGAACCAATGCATTATATTTTTAAAGTATAAAAGAGACAAAAAAATATGTAATCATAAGTAGCACAAATTTTAAGAAAGGTAGAATACTTACCATGAACAGGTCTGTTTGTGAATGTAGCAGTTAGTATGGAGTCTAATGTCCAAAAAAAAATTTTTAAACCCAAAAAATGGTTATCAACTTAAAACTTTTTGAATTTTTAACGATGGAAAGTAAAATATATTTTTACTGGTGTATTTCCGCGAATAAATTTTAAAGAAATTTAACGAGCTCAAATAATTCTAATCATAATTTAGTTTTTTCTAAAAAGTGAAAAATTTTTGATTGAAAGTGGGCACGAGCTTTATACTTTTGAAATTTTAGACCTTGTTATTTAAAAAATGTATTTTATGGTTCATTTTCACTGGTAAATTCTAATAAAAATACAATGAGTACAAATGTTTTTAACATCAATTATCCAGAACAAATGTTTTGCTTGACTCAGCCACTAGCTGTGTAGGGGACCAGCGCGTTTGTCAAGCGTTGGTTTTTCGGCCTCTCAGTTTTGAAATTAAATAAGTTCTTATATTCTTGATATTTTTCGGTCCGCGTATCTTTTCGTAAAGAGTTTAAATAATATGTGACGCGATACAAGAAAAGGTGTACCTATCGCCGCAAAAGAGAATTTTACAAGGTGATCGTTTAAAGTGACACCACGAACAGAAAGAACTCGTGTATTTACGCGAACATGCTTATCTTTCTGGCTTTATATTATTAAAACTATTTCAGTTCTTCAACTTCTGGTTTTTTCACATAAAAAGGCAAATGAAAATCTATCGAACAGCACCATAAACTTTAAATCAATTTTTTAACGATAGGTACTTTTTCTCGTGTCGCGTCACATATTTAAAAAGTTAAATAAGAAATTTTACGCTTTTAAATTTCAAAATAATCTACTTTACCTAAATGTTGTTCCTTGCATTATTGGACATTGTGTAACAAAAGGTACACCATCGTAATACTGCGATCCTCTTTGGAAGATTCCATGCCAATGGAGTGTCACTTCCATTCCTTCTATATGGTTCTCAACATCAATAACAACTTTATCGCCTTCACAAACTTGTATACTTGGCCCAGGAATCATTCTGTTTGCTGTTAGGATTCCTCTTTCAACGCCATCAGCAAGAACACATTGACAATGGCTCCATACGGTATTTGTTGCATTAGGTGTGCATACTTGACACGCCCTATAAATATAACAAACACTTTATTCAATGTCCCCATAAAATTTTTTTTTATCTCTAGTAAGCATATTTTGCAAAAATACATCTGTTACTGAACCTTGTTTACTGATACATACATTTTCCTGTATCTCAATTTGTATAAGATCTAGTACAAATAATTCTTGTTCAAGATTTTGTACAGGATCATGTATAAGATTTTGTACAAGAATTTTTAGTAGGGCACTGATCGTTGCTTGCTCATATAACTATCTTCCACTAAGGTCAGATCAATATACTTTAAATAAAGTAATTGCGGCATAATTTAAAAAAACATGATTCTTTTAAAATGAATCTATATTATATTTAGGGAACAAAATAAAAAGAATTTTGTTTATTTTCTGAGTTAAAATTGGTTTTGAATTTAATCACCGTATCGTAACGTTTCTTACAAAAAGAAACCAACTTCAATTAGAAGAGAATGAACAGTTTTAACTTGATAAAGTGTGCAATTTTCAATGCATACAAAAACCAAAAAAATGTTTAAAAATTCAAAATGAAATTCGGTTGTAATTTTAAGAGTTAAAAGAATAGGTTAATTAACAAGTAAATATAAAAAATAAACAATAATTTAAAACCTCCATTACAAAAATGATATGCATACTTATTAAATAATCAGTAAATAAATAAAAATTTAATTAAAAAAAATAAAATTAAAATAAGGTTATAACAATACTAAAATGAAAAAATAGAAAATTTATAGAATTACCGATATACTATAGATAATGAATTAGATATTGTATAATTAATAGACTGCTTTAATTTTTTGGTATAAACAGTGCGTGTCGGAGAGAGAAACTGGTTAACATAGGCATTTAAGATGTACAACACGAAGGATAAATGTTTTGTTAATTAAACTTCTAATTAAAAAAATAAAACAGCCAAGATCTTCCACTTAATTACGCTCGAAAGAAGTTATCTCCAACAAAGTTTTTCTCAATTTCCATACAAAAAATGTACATCGCAAATTATTGGAGGAAACAAAGGCAAAAATACTTATATTGTCTTATTGTTAACACGTACACAACAATAATTTTCAAAAAATTTTAAAAGTAGTTAAAAAACTTTTTATCTTGAAAATTTTTTAAATTTAAGCAGCTGAAAATGCATTTTTCTACAAAACATAAAACCAGAAAACTTTTATCTCCACAAAATTCGTTCAACTATTTTTGAACTTTAAAAAATTCAAAGTTCTAACAGTTTTGACTAAAGTTCTGATCACACTTTTTGAAATTATTTGTATTCTTCCTGAAAATTTTTTTTATCAAACTCCAAATCCTAAAATCTACTGCTCTTTAAAGTTCGCAAAAATATTTTTGACTTTAAAAATCATAAAATTTCTAACAGTTCTAACCAAAGTTCTAATACCACTTTGTAGAGTTCTTTACATTGTCCCTATATTTTTTTACTAATTTCAAAATCCAAAAATTCAAGGTCTCAGCATGAGTACACATTTTAAGAGTGACAGAAAAGTAAAAAAATTTGTTTAAGTCGTTATGTTTAAAAATTATTAAGGAAGGTAAAAATTTTGCACACACACTATCAGAACAGATATAACTATCAGATATTCCAATTGTTTGAACACTAAAAAAATACAAGGCATTTACAATCCTTCAATTCCAAAACAAATGTTGCTCACTTATCTGAATTCTTATTTCAAGATTTGACACCATCTGTCACAACAAGAGAATTTTGCAATTTTTGTCATCAGGAAAACATATGTCAGTTAGTGTACGCTCCAATTAACATCGCAATTGCTGTAACAGCAAAAGAACAACGAATACAAAATGCTCTTGATAACATTCGGTTAGATGTTTCCACAACTTGCTATTTGTGCAGATTGTTACCGTTTACAGGGACTTTCGCTCCAAATTATGAGGGTTTAGTCTAGGTCGTTACCCAGACTAAACCCCCATAATTTGGAGAGAAAGTCCCGGGCCACAATGATTGTGTAGTGCCGCGGAGGAAGACGTGGTGCACGTCCTCATAGGGTGTCCACTCTTCACTACAGAGCGTGGTGCGCTTAGTGTCGGTATTTAGGATGAGGTGGAGTGACCAGCCTCAGTGGAGTATGACTGTATAATTGGTCGAAGGGGGTAGAAAGACCTGTAGACCTTCGATAAATATAACGATAAATTATAACCTTTACGATAAATATATCGTCTACGAGATTAGATCACGCGACTAAACGAGAATGGGAACTTAAAACGTTGTCGGAAAAGGTATTGAAACTTTCGGATTTTATTTCATTTTTGGAGCTTAAAAGTCAAATGTTGGAAGTTATTACACCACAAGGGTCAAGTTTAAATTCGAATTTTAAAACAGCTTTGTCTCAGGGAATAAAACGGGACAATGGGTCTATGGCTTATTTCATGACGAAAGAATTATGTAAAAATTAACTTAAATCTGAAAGAGAAAAATATCATGCATACGGTATCGGGAATAAATTTAACTCAATCATCGGTGATGTCTTGTACTACAACAACTATTTTATCTATGAAAAACGATTATAGGGTTCGGGCAGAATTTCTTGTTACGAATAACATTTCGCATTGTATATCGACAACAAGGATAAGCGTAGATGGGTTATCGATTCTGGAGCATGTACATTGTACAGCTTGCTGATCCCAATTTCCATGATCAGACTAGGTCAAGGGCATCCAGTTATTCAGTTGACTTTTGGATGTATCTTAACGTTTCCGGATTCAAATAAACAAAAGCAAACGACAGCTCTGTTTTATGGACTCTCGTCGGATAAAAACTTAGACGATCACATGAAGAGATTTTGGAAAATCAATGAAAATTACGTGACTCATATTAAATCTGCGAATTTTTAAATGATTGAGAATTTTCAACCTATTCGTCCTACATAATATATAATATAGAATTTTAGGTTTGATAATTTTTTTGTTTTCATTATTATTAAAATAGTAGATATTAATTAAATATTAAAAAACATTACTTATTTTAGTTACGACATTCTTATGAAATAATAATTTAATAAATGTTAAAAAAAATATTACATTATTTATGTGCATAGCACATAGTACGACTTAGTAGGATTTGCCGACCATACTGCATAAATAAAGGCATTACAAAAAGTCATTTATTTTAATTTCTAGTAAAAGATAAAAAGTAGGTTAAGGTATCATTTCAAAGCTAATATTTCCTACTTTTATAATATCAAAATAATAAAATAAAAAAACATGTTCTTCATTGTTTGAATGCAATTATTAATAAACAAAATTTTTTATTTTTTGTTGTACGTCGTCTAAATGTGACTTAAAATGTATCTCGTAGTAGTTTTTTGTTGAATATATTCATTTTGGTAAAATTCTCACTGGAACATTTTTGTTTGCAGCATTTAACTCTAGTATTTAAAAATTTTCTCGTTGCTTTTGACAAAATTTCATGTCTCTGGTCACAAATCATCGCTACTTAATATATTTTGACGATGATGATTTGTGACGAGAGACATAAATTTTGATTAAAAACAACGAGAAAAATTTTACATGTTAGAGTTGAGTGCTGCAAACGAAAATGTTCCAAAGCGAATTTTACCAAAACTAATATATTCAGCAAAAAACTACTACGAGATTTTGCACATGTTTTATTGAGCTAAAACGGCAACATATTCCCACTTTTAGAATAGGATTCTAAAAAAAGTTATTTTTTAACCAACATATAATATGTGCATATGCTTAAATGTTAGACAAAAATTTCTTAATACACTAGAATCTGGAAATGTGAGACTCTGATAACATAGTTTGGTGATGAGGAAAGATAAACTGCTTAGCGGGGATTTCGAACTGACGATCAGTGCCATGAGTAAGTTTGTGAACAGTAACAAGGTTTTCAGTTCTCAGTCTTATTGATGTTTTTCTTTTTATTATCAATGCATTCAATTATTGTATATTAGTACCCGATTAGTCTCACTTGTCCCTAAATAGTAATAATTATTGGAAATACTTACGCCCCAAGTACGGTATACATCTCTAGAGTAAAGTGATAGTAGCAAATTCTATGTGGTTCTCCTTCTCTACACGCACGTGCACATTCATCAGGAGCAGACAATGAAGGATTTCTGCGTAGCTCAGCAGTAGCTCGTTCACTGTAATCTAATGGCCTTGTTCTAGGTGGTCTAACAGTAACACCTCTACTTCCTAGATTATCGATACCACCGAATCCACTTTGAAAAACACCATTTGTAGAGTGTGTTTGTAGTAAACCATGTGACTCGGAAGAAAAATAATTTGGATCACTCTCTGCAAATGTGTTTCCGCTTTTAATTTGCGAGTTCCAGAAAGATGAAGCTGAAGTCTGATCTGTACTTTCTTGAGTTACATCTTAAAAAGATAGAAAGTTATTCATTTTTTAAAATGACAATGCATCTAATGTATATTAATTACTATATAGGGGAGAGTAGTCAAGGTTGGGCTACTACTTGACTTTGCGCATAACTTCTACACCAAATTGTACGTTTTCTCATATCCCAACGGGAAGTTGCCAATGTTAACGATTGGTTCAATAATGGGCCATGCTTGGTACCCAATGGTTTTTTCTTGGCAAAACAATTGGCAACCATCGTTGGACCACCAATGGTTTAAACTTGGGATGATCACGCTACTGCCAATGATCGGTAGCCAAGCATCGGGCCAATATTATTTGCCAAGGAATTGCCAAGGAGACAAAATCGATTTTCAAAAGCTTGATTTTTTATTGGCAGCCAACAAAAAACCAAGGTTTTAAAAATTGATTTTTTTTAATTATTAATTAAAATTTATTTTTAAAAAATATATTTTTCAAAAATTTATTTTAAAAAAATATATATTTTTTTAAATTAATAGAACATATTAATTTAATTTGTCACCTCTGGTAAAACAAAGATGAAAGACTGATAAATTCCCTCACTTTATATTTTACAGTGGAGGGATGACTGTGAATGTCTTTGCGAGAGAGGAGCAGGTACTTATATAGAGCCAGTGAGAAAGGTCACAAGCGAGAACAAATCACTAGCATGCACTCTGGCGGCGCTTGTCGGAAGTGGCGCAACGTTGGTTGCCAAGCGCTGTGTCGATAATGTCAGGATATGCATGCGCGCCAGAAAACAGTTCCGACAAGCGCCGCCAGAGTGCATGCTAGTGATTTGTTCTCGCTTGTGACCTTTCTCACTGGCTCTATATAAGTACCTGCTCCTCTCTCGCAAAGACATTCACAGTCATCCCTCCACTGTAAAATATAAAGTGAGGGAATTTATCAGTCTTTCATCTTTGTTTTACCAGAGGTGACAAATTAAATTAATATGCTCTATTAATTTAAAAAAATATATATTTTTAAAAAATATGTTTTTTTAAAATAAATTTTTGAAAAATATATTTTTTAAAAATAAATTTTAATTAATAATTAAGAAAAATCAAAAACCTTGGTTTTTTGTTGGCTGCCAATAAAAAATCAAGCTTTTGAAAATCGATTTTGTCTCCTTGGCAATTCCTTGGCAAATAATATTGGCCCGATGCTTGGCTACCGATCATTGGCAGTAGCGTGATCATCCCAAGTTTAAACCATTGGTGGTCCAATGATGGTTGCCATTAATGTTCCAATAATGGAACGGAGTTCGCCAAGCATGGCCCATTATTAAACCAATCGTTTACTTCCCATTGGGATGAGGCAAAATTCTTCAACTCTCTAGGTCAAAAAATGAATTTTCTTGAAATTTTGACAAAATATTACAATTATTAGTAGAAGTGTAAATATGAATTATTATTGAATTTGATAAAATATTTTTTGAGTTACGGAGTTTCTAAATTTTGACTTTTTTGAAAATATCTTCTTTTCAATTTAATATATTGTTAAGTAAAATTAATCAAATTAAAAATGTGAATAGTGATTTTTAAAGGGTTTTTCATGAGCTACAATCTGGTGATAAAAAAATTTTATGTCAATTTGACCTTGATATTCAAGGTCAAATTTTTTTTTTCTAACATATCTCAATGGAAAGCTTACCATTTTTCCTATGAGCCATGTAAAAATCAAAGTGGGATCTTGAAAATTTTTCAAGAAAATAATTATAAATCATCATTTTCTTTATAAAATAATGGTAAATTATTATTTTCTACAAAACTTTTCAAGATCCCTCTCTGATTTTTACATGGCGCATAGGAAAAAAGGTAAGCTTTCCATTGGGATGGGTTAGAAAAAAAATCCGATTATGAGATATATTGAAATTAAGAAGTTGACCTTGAATTTCAAGGTCAAATTGAAAGAAAACAATTTTTTATCACCAGCTTGTAGCTCGTGAAAAACCTTTAAAAAATTACTATTCACATTTTTAATTTGATTAATTTTACTTCTCTTTATATTAAATCGAAAAAAAGGTATTTTCAAAAAAGTAAAAATTTTGAAACTCCGTAACACAAAAAATATTTTATCAAATTCAATAATAATTCATATTTACACTTCTACTAAATAGTAGGTAACATTTTTGCAAAGTTTCGAGAAAATTCATTTTTTGACCTGGTGAATTGACGAATTTCGCCCCATAATATGGTTTGAAACACAATTTGGAATGCAATGTTTTTACTAAATATTGAAAAATGATTGAAAATTATAATTCGTTTTAAGCACAGTTTTTAAATGGTATACAAAAACGAAAATTGTTCCTTATATTGTGTGGTGACGTAGAATTTAAATAAGGACAAAAGTGATTAATATTTAAATGTTTTCAATGGAATTGAAGATTAATTATACAATCTACTATGTCCAAAATAAATTTTTTATAGCCTAAAGTATAACTTACAAATTTTAGGTATCAGTAGCTAAACTGCTCATAATATCCTAAACTTTATTTATGCGTTGTTTGGCGTCATATCATAAAGAAATTTTAATTATAACGTAAAATTTCAGTCAATTTCTTTGCTATGTGCACATTTTCGATGATATACGCGGTTTAGTACATAATTTCTTAAGCGTTTCTGCATTCAAAAAGGCCATATTTAATCAAAACTGAAAATTTTTCACAAAATGGGGAGCCTCATGACTCAAAAAATTTTGTTTTTACTTTTTTATTGTTAAATAGAAAACTTGTTATTATAGTTAGATGTAATTGTTGTTTCGACTTGTGGCTGAATATATTTAACTAGAGGTGTAAGGTTATAGTTTCTTGTCAAGTCAATTATTTATGAGCATTTATTGTCACAAAAGCTTTTCGATCAGATCGACATTGATCATCCTCAGTGTTAGTAGCACTAAAAATGCTGTGAATCTGGTGCATTAAAAATTAGACAAGGAGGCTATCAACGAGGAGCGTGATAATTACGAAGTGTTGAGAGCGAAGGAAGCTGAAATACTTCTTTAGATCGAGGTTTGAGACAAAAGTTTGAGAAATCGTGCGTTCTCGCATAGAAACACGAAAAAGGGATAAGAGTGCTAGTAGTCTTTTCCACCATCTGATGGTAAGAAAAATAAGCAGGAGACACCTCCTGAAAATAAGAGCCGCAGGGAGACGGAAGTACCGAATCCTAAACAGTTAACGATCAGATCTGCAAGGAAAGTTCAATGATTTTAATCAAAGTCTCAGAAGGCAAGACATACGCTAACGTACAAGGTAAACTTCGTAAGGTGGACCAATCTAGACTTCAGACACACGAGCGTTGTAGGGACAAGGCCTACAAGAAAAGGAAACGTGTTGATAGTTTGATACACATCAGAGGAGACTCTAATAAAGTAGCTTTCACTTCTGAGGTCACCGAAGTAGTCTGAAGCATAGGTAACATACAGTCAATAGATCAAAGAATTACTCTTGAGATCCGGTATTTGGATTGATATACCTAGGATAATAAGGTACTGCAGAGACTACAAGACGTGTTATCGAGAAGCAAAAAAGCAGAAAAATGACTGTCTTAGTGTTAAAAGTAACACTACCCAAGTGTAAAACTGGGATCGATTTCTACTTTAGACCATTTATTAGAAAAAATAGTTGATACGTATCTTTTATATTGGCAGACATGCAATTCTAGGAGTTAAAAATGGGGCTTAAAAATAAAGAAAACCCTCAAATGTGCGTGTAAAGATCAGTTTGGAACAGTACTTTTTAAATTCAGCGCATTCGTTTGAAATTCGTCACTCGTAGGTTTTCGAGGTTTCTGATTACGAAAATGAAGTCCTATTTACAAAATTCAAAATGGCGGATGATTTTTTAAAATTCATACCATTTGTTTGAAAATTGTTACTCCGGGGTTTTTGTGGTCGCTGATTACGAATATGAAGTCCGATTTGCAAATTTCAAAATAGTGGATTCAATGATGATTTTTTTTTAATTTAGCCAATTCGTTTGAAACTCGTTACTTTAAGGTTTTCTGGATCAACAATTACGAATATAAAGTCAAATTTGCAAAATTCAAATGACGGATTAGTTTTCTAGATAAATTAAATTCTGTATTTGATTTGAAGGCTCTCCTTTTAATGTGTGCAAAATGAACTGTCATTCAATTTTCATAGGTTCAGAAAGCTTATGAAAATTCAATGACAATTCGTTAAGTAGACATTAAAAGGTGAGCCTTAAAAGCATGTAATTGACCTGTTACTGTTAAATTTAAGAAAAAAATTTATTAATAACGAACTTTCAATTAAAAAACTTTTAGACATAACCAAGATTTTTAAAAAATGTCCACCATTTTGAATTTTGAAAATTTTTTAAATCTGACTTTAAATACATAATCAGCGACCCCGAAAACTTCTGAGTAAGAAGATTTAAGCGAATTTGAGGAAATTTTGAAAAATTAGATTTTGCTATTTTCTTATAAATATTTTACCTATTGTTAATAATAATTATAATCGTACTAAGTAATTTTTTTTTTAGAAATAGTAGTAACGTTCGTGATTAAAACAAGCTAAATTAATCGTTAATTGGTTCAAATTTATAACAGTTATGTCAAATTTTTTAAGTGGTACATATTTGTACTAGAGGCACGAAAGAGTTAACAACGAAAAAGTAAATAAAAATTAAGTAGGTAAAATATTAACATTCTTAAGTTTCGTTTGCTGTAAACTCTTTTTGAAAAGTGACTCAATATGAAACGCAATTCAAGTGACTTGATATTTTTCTGCGTTCATCTGTGTTAATTAAAAAAATGAATTAAAGAGAAAGTAAGTGTTGTATATGTTGAAGAAATATTGACGTAACATTTATATTTCTAATAGTCATTGGAGATTCGAGACTGCTCTTGACACTGTTGCTCTTATCTCGTCTTAAATTATTATTCAGACGAGATAAATGGTCAGCTTTGTTCTTCTCTATTTACCTATAGACTTGCTCTTCTCAAAAATTCTGGATCTTGCGATAACACTA